TGGCTGTAGGTTCTTGCTATTCATCACCTTGAATATTTCTTGCCATTCCCGTCTGGCCTGCATGGTTTCTGTTGAGAAATCAGCTGACAATCGTATAGGTGCTCCTTTATAGGTAACTACCTTCTTTGCTCTTGCTGCTTTTAATATTCTTTGTCTTTTGCTCTTGGAATTTTAATTATGGTTTGTCTTGGTGTGGTCTTCTTTGGATTCCTTTTGTTTGGAGTTCTGTGTGCTTCCTGGACTTGTAAGTCTAATTCTTTCACCAGGTGGAGGAAGTTTTCTGTCACTATTTCTTTAGTATATTTTCGATATCTTGCTCTCTCTCATCTTCTGGGACCCCCATAATTCTGATGTTGGTTCCCTTGAAGTTGTCCCAGAGGTTACTTACATTATCTTCAATTTTCTGGATTCTCTTGCCTTCTAGCTTCTGTGGAGGAGTGTCTTCTGGCTCTTTATGTTCCAAATCTTTGACTTGATTCTTCCTATCTTCCATTCTGTTTTTAGGACTCTGTATAATATTTTTTATTTCAGAGAATGTATTCTTTGTTTCTTGTTGATCCCTTATCATTTCTTGTTGATTCCTTATTAATTCTAGTTGATCTCTTTTCATATCCTCATAGGTCTTATCCATCTTTTCTAGGAAATTCTTGAAAAACCTTATAAGTGTAGATTTGAACTCTATCCAGTCGCTTTTTGTTCTTCATTTTTTTCGTTTGTGATCTGTTTTGTTGTCGCATTTCGCAGCTACAGATGCGGTGGAGTTTCAGGGTGGAGCCTACAGCCTTGGCTTCTGTCAGCGCTGCCCTATGCGGCTCCAGGGTCTCAAGGTCCTTCAGTACTCGTTGCAAGCGCCTCTGAGAGAAAGATGCCCTCGATTTTCGCCTACTACCAAACAGTCTATGCTCTCCCCCAATGAGCCTGGAACTGGGGTTCAGTTCAGTTGGAAGTGGAGTCGGAGGTGGCGTTCAGAGCAGTCTGGAGCCCCAGTCTCCTTCCCGCCAGGGCAATCCCGCGGTACCAACAACTGTCCCTTCTCTGCACGCAATGTGCATGCCGCTGGGACCTCCTTTCGCCGCTCCCCCGGGGTTCCGCCTTACAGCCCAGTTCCCTCTGTTTGAACCTGGGTCCCCGGGGTCTGGCCTAGAACTGGGGTTCAGAGCAGTCGGAACTGGGGCCCAACACAGTCGGAGCTTTTATCTCCTTCCTGCTAGGGAATGCCAGCCAGGCACTCAGCTGCCCTCCTCTCCGGCTCCGTCCTCTCCGCGCGCCGCGTGTCTCCGTACCTTAAGCTTTTACAGCTCCTTCGCGCTTCCTTCTGGTTTTCTCCTTGCTTCTCGTTGTAGAATTTCCAGTCAGTCGACTTTCCTGTAGTTCTGGATAATGTCCATTTTATATTTTAGTTGTATTTTATTGAAATTGTTGTGTGTGGCTGTGGCTAGGTGTTTACCTGGGCAGCCATCTTGGATTCTCCCCTGAAGACACCTTTTGAGGGGAGGAATGGGAAGGGATGGCTTAGGGTACTCGGCACACGATGATTGGTGGTTTCATATAAGGCACATGATTAGGCACTTAAGTACTAAGGAATCAAGGGCTTAGGGTATTTGGCAGATGTTGATTGGTGGTTCATTGTACAGTCTATATAAGGTGCCTGGTTAGGTGCTCAGGGATTTCCATGCTGCAGGTGCAGGTTACTTCATACTCGGTCCATCAGTTAGGGGAAGGGAGGAGCTATCAAAATGGATGTTGAATTGTATGATTTTTATCCTTGGTTTTGTGGATGAGATGAGTAACATTAATTATTTTGTGGGTGTTGAACCATCCTTGTATATCTGGTATAAATCTCGAACGTGTTATGTAATCCTTTTAATGCATTGTTGAATTCAGTTTAATAGTATTATTATTTTTATTTTTTTTACATTTTTTAAATATATTTTATTGATTTTGTACAGAGAGGAAGTGAGAGAGATAGAGAGTTAGAAACATCAATGAGAGAGTCATCGATCAGCTGCCTCTTGCACACCCCCCTACTGGGGATATGCCCGCAACTAAAGTACATGCCCTTGACCGGAATCGAACCCGGGTCCCTTCAGTCCCCAAGCCGACGCTCTATATCCATTGAGCCAAACCGGTCTCGGCCAGTTTAATAGTATTTTATTGAGAATTTTTGCCTCTATGTTCATCAGGAATATTGGACTGTAATTCTCCTTTTTGTAGTGTCTTTGACTTTAGTGTTGGATAATGCTAACATTGTAAAGTGAGTTTAGAATCATTCCTTTCTCAACTTTTTTTAATAGTTTGAGAAGGATAAAGTATTTTTTAAAAACGTATTTTATTATTTATTTATTTATTTATTTATTAAAATATATTTTATTGATTTTTTTACAGAGAGGAAGAGAGAAGGATAGAAAGTTAGAAACATCGATGAGAGAGAAACATCAACCAGCTGCCTCTTGCACACCCGCCACTGGGGATGTGCCCGCAACCAAGGTACATGAATCAAACCCGGGACCTTTCAGTCCGCAGGCTGACGCTCTATCCACTGAGCCAGATTGGTTTCGGCAGAGAAGGATAAAATATTAATTTTTTAAATATTTCATAGAATTTACCCATGAAGCCATCTGGGCTTTTGATTGGTGGGAGTTTTTTGTTTTTTAAATATATTTTTATTGATTTCAGAGAGGAAGGGAGAGAGAATGAGAGAAACATTAATGATGAGAGAGAATCACTGATTATTGCTTCCTGCACGCCCTCACGGGGAATTGAACCCGTATCCCTTACTTTTTATTTGTCTGGGAAACACTATCTTTCCTTCAATTCTGAATGATATAGTATTCTAGGTTGTAGGTTCCTTTCAACTCTTTATTTCCTGCTACTACCTTCTGGCTTATAGAGTTGCTGCTGAGAAATCAGTTGATAGCCTATGGGCTTTCCATTGTATTGTGACTTGTTCACTCTGGCTGCCTTTAAGATTAACTCTTTATCCTTAACTTTTACCATTTTGATTATAATGTGTCTTGGTATGGGCCTCCCTTGGATTCATCTTGTTTGGAACTCTGCTTCCTGGACCAGGATGTGTATTTCCTTCCTCAGATTAGGAAAGTTTTTCAGCCATTATTTCTTCAAATATACTTTCTGCCTCTTTCTGACTCTTCTCCTGGAATTGCTATAATGTAAACTTTAGACTGTTTGATATATGTTAGCACAGAGGTCCCTTATACTTTAATTTAAAAAACTATATTTTTTCATTTTGCTGTTTTAGTTGGGTGATTTCCACTATTCTGTCTTCCAAGTCCCTAATCTTTTCATTTATATTAACTATATTACTGTTGACTCCTTCTAATGTATTATTTATTTCAGTTATTTTGTTCTTTAATTATTCTTTGTTACATTTTCTAACTTTTTAAAAAGCTCTCTGGTTCCTCTATTCTATTCTCAAGATTGTTGAGCATTCTTATGACCATTTCTTACAATTTTATAGCAGGCAAATTACTTATCTCTGTTTCATTAGTGTTTTGTTAAGTGGGGGTTTTCCCTGTTCATTCGGGGCATGCTCTCCATCTCCCCGTTTGTTTTACTTTCTGTGCTTATTCCTATGAATTAGATAAAATAGTTTTCTAAATCTTGAAAAGTAGCCTCTGTGTAGACTGCATACAGATGGTTTTGGCAGGCTGGTTGTAGTGTGTGTGTGTGTGTGTGTGTGTGTGTGTGTGTGTTGCCTCACGTGCTGCCTGACCAGGAGTGGGTTTAGGGCGGGCTGTCTGGTATGGGCCTGTATCCTATTATCTGTAGCCCGATTGGGTCTGGGCAGGGCTGCTCTGAGTGAGAGCATCACACTGTCCTACTAGCTTCACATTTCTCTGGATGGAGCAATCCCCTGTGTGCAGCAGTGCCCACTCCTACTATAACGCTTTGCTACCTTCACACTTTCTCCCAGTGGGGCAACTCCGTATGCATGAGCAGCAGCACCCCACTGTTTCTGCAGTTTCTTTGGACAGGCAGCAGGTACCACAGCATTTTGCTAGCTCTGCTCTCTCCCTGCCATACCACTGGCTCAGTCTGGGTGGAGGGGCCCCTGGTATGAATGCTCTGTTGCCTTCCTGTTGTGTTTGAGCTAGCTCTTGGGAGAGCTGGCTGGCTGGGTACATGCCAAGGCAGCACTGCAGGCTGGCCAGAGAACCTGGGTAGAGTTCCTCCTGCTGTCCAAGGGCAAGGGAAAGCAAACAATGGCTCTCACGGCTCCTCTGTTCCTGAACGGTTCCTGCAACTGCTGGAGAGCTCTTGTGTTTCCCAGCCTTCTCCATGTGGTTTCTCTCTATTGTTTTGCAGAAGCTGTTCAGTTGTCTCTCAGGAGGAATTGATCTAAATATAGGTGTGCATTGGATGTGTTCTTGGGAGGGGCAAGCTCAGCATCCTCCGATGCCATTTTGGATCTGCCTCTCTGCCTACATACTTTGAATGAACAAATAGGACAACTTACATTAATGGCTTTCAGTTAGGGGTGTTTTTGCTCCAGAGGACATTTGGCCATGGTTGCTAAGCACCCTGTGATGCACGGAACTGCCCCTACCACAAAGAATTAGCCCAAAATGCCAATGGTGCCACTGCTAAGAAACCCTAGCTGAAATTGAGAGAGCTGGGCCCTGGCCAAGTAGCTCAGTTGGTTAGAGTGTCGTCCTGAAATGCCGAAGTTGTGGGGTTTCATCCCTGGTCATGACACACACAAGAATCAGCCAATGTGCATGAATAAGTGAACATCAATCAATGTGTCGCGCTCTCAAATCAGTAAATAAAAACAATTTTTTTGAGAGTGTCCTTCCGTAAATACATTAGTAGCCATCAGAAAAAGAATACTTTGTCCTACCTTTTAGAAAAGAGGCTACATAGAAATTGGCAATTTAGAGATACGGATAGGTATATTGGCATAACATTCTCAGATAATTTTTTATATTTTCAAAATAGGAAAACTCAAATATAGGGTTACTGGTTTTCTTATTTTACAGATGGGGCCAAGGATTTGGTCTTTTGGGTTCCATTTTTGGAAAGGATGGTGCATTAAATCAGCCAAACAGTGTCTTTGGACTTATATTTTATATACTACAGTTATTACTTGGTAAGTATTATACAGCAATACAAAAATAAATTTTTTGTTATATTCCACTTAGTACTTTGTATCTTTGCTCTGATGCATGTGTCTTTATCTTAAATAAAAGCATATATTAATGACAGAACCAATAGTTTTTTTGTGTGTTGTGAGACTTTGTTCACTCTAATTTTGATGAAGCTAATGCTGAACTTGGTATCTGCTGGTATTTAGTCAGAGATAGTGGCATCCCATGATATCTATAAAAACCAGTCCTATTTAGAGAAATTATTACTCCAGTCTTCCCTATAAACCTTTCTCCTTACTATTTTATATACTTATTAGCTATTTTTAAATATATGCTTTGGGAAAACATTGATGGTTAATGATAATCATAATTCCACCACCTTTACCTTACCCACTATTTTCCATTGTCTTCTGATTTTTTTCACTTATTTTTATACAAACTTATATTTTTTACCCTCTTAAATGTTTTGTATTGTTGACATCAGGTTTCAAAGTTTTTTATGTCTAAATAATACAGATCAATTTTTAAGTCCCGTTCCCCCCACTGCCTTTTCTCCCCCCAACCCTCCCCCTCCACACCCACAGCCTTCCTTCTTTGAATTATTTCCATGGAATAAATTTCCAAATGTGGGATGAATGAGACAAAAACAAGATTTTTAAATGGAGTTTTAGTAGGTATTAACAAACTGCTTTTCCCTCAATTGTCCGGTTTCCCAGAAGTTCCATCATCTTCATTTTAAGAAACTATTTTCTATAAAATATCTAATATAAGTTATATATTAGTATCTATTACTTTTTTTTTTTTTTTTTACTATATTTTAACTTTATTTTCAATTTATTATTGGGATCTTGATATAGTCCATTTTCATATTTGTTACAAACATTTAACCTGTTCTTTATCCTTTTATTATGTTAGTTTTGTGAATTTTGATTGTATAAAAGTTTTCACAGTTTTAAAGTTAAATTCATTTATTTTTGCCCTTGCATTTCAATTATTATTATTTCATCCTATTATCTGCCAGCTCTTCTGTGAAGTTGATTTGTTATGAGGCAAACTGTGAATCTAAAGTTTTCTCAATGTCCTAGTAAGTTTTTCAATTCCATACTTATATGTTCTGTAGAAATAGAAAAACAGGCACAAGAATATTCATTGCAGAATAGTTTAAAATAGCAAAGAATTAGAAGCAGCTTAGCAAAACATAATGGTTGAATAAATTAAGTTACATCCATACGAGAAAACAGTGTAACCATTAAAGGAGAAAATAGGTCTACATGTGAAAAGATAAAGGCATAGTTTAGTGAAAAAAGCAAATTGTGGTATATAATATATTTTATATATATATATATATATATATATATATATATATATATATATATATGCATGTAAATGTATATGGGTGTAGTGGTTGGGGGTCAAGGGTGAGACTCTCACTTTTTATTCCATTTATTGGTTTTGTTTGGATTTCTAAGCCCAAATTAAAATAGCCTAAGAAATGTTTTTTTTGGAGATAGAGATGGTACACATTTCTATTATATTTAATATCATTATGTATAGATATTTCAAATCATGTATTATATGTATTTTTTTCTATTTGCATTTTATGCTTTTTGTTTAATCCTCACCCAAGGATATTTTTCCCATTGATTTTTAAAGAGTAGAAGGGGAAGGATGGAAGGGGAGGGAGGGAAAGAGACATCGATGTAAAAGACACATTAATTTGTTGCCTCTCTCCCAATCAGGGCCTGGGAACAAACCTATAACACAGGTAAATGCCCTTGACCAGAATCAAACCTGCCACACTTCGGTGCTGGGCTGACCTCTATCCATTTAGCACCACCGGCCTTTTTAATGTCAGGGTCTTTATCATTGGAGGCACATTTGAACTCATCTAGTTTTCAAAGCACATCATCTTCACTTCTAAGTTATTTGAGATACAGTATTTTTAATTAATTAATTTATAGGTAATTCTCAAGATTCAAAAGGTTTTTTTTAAATGTATAAAATTCTACACAGTAAAAAGTCTGTCCTACCCTTGTTCCCTTCTGCCCACTTCCCACTGCCTCTCATCCAACTGGTAGCTTCTTGTTGCTGCTGTTAGGGGATTTCTTTAGGCATATAATACAAGAAAACACGGATACATAACCTTAATTTTCTTTTTCTTAAAAAAGGACAAATGCTATACACACTGTTTTACGTACTTTTTGTTTTGCTGACTGACATATCATGGTGATCTTTCCATAGCAGAACATTAAGTCTTCATTCTTTTTCACAGCTGCAGAATATTCCATTGCTTTATTGTACAATCCTCTATTCAGAGTTACAGCACATTTTAATTCCACTGGAAGTTTATCCCAAACCACCATACATTACATTAGAACAAGTTTGGTACAATAGTATTTAACTAATAGCTAGTGTTTATAAAGCATTCTAAGTATTTATACCTATTAGCTCTTTTAATTTGCACAATGGTATTAGTATGTAGTCATGATTATTATCCCAATCTTACAGGTAAGGAAATAACTTGAAGTGTTAGATGTTTAGTTTAGATAAGATCACCAAACTTTTAGCATAGAGCTGGAAGAAAATAATTGAGGCACCTGGCCCATGTGGCTCAGTGGTTGAGTGTTGACCCATGAACCAAGAGATCCTGGTACGATTTTCAGATAGGACATATGGTTGGATTGTGGGCTTGATCCCTAGTAGGGGACTTGCAGGAGGCAGCACATTGATGATTCTCTCTTATCTTTGGTGTTTTTCTCTCTCTTTCCCTCTCTCTGAAATAAAAACATTAAAAAAGAAAATAATTGAAGCTTTGCTAACTGTCATAACTACTCAACTCAGCCACTAGAGTGTGAAAGCAGCAATAGGCATTACTTAAATCAGTTAGTGTAGTTGGGTTCCAGTAAACCTTTATTTATTAAATATATTTTATTGATATTTTACAGAGAGGAAGGGAGAGAGCTAGAGAGCTAGAAATGTCGATGAGAGAGAAACATCAACCAGCTGCCTCTTGCACACCCCCTACAAGGAAATAATTTGTTCATGTTTCAAATAACATGAACAAGTTATTTCTTTACCTGTAAAATTGGGATAATAATCATGACTACATACTAATACCATTGTGCAGATTAAAAGAGCTAATAGGGCCGGGACCGGTTTAGCTCAATGGATAGAGCGTGGGCTTGGGGACTGAAGGGACCCGGGTTCGATTCCGGTCAAGGGCATGTACCTTGGTTGCGGGCATATCCCCAGTAGGGGGTGTGCAAGAGGCAACTGATCGATGACTCTCTCTCATCGATGTTTCTAACTCTCTATCTCTCTCCCTTCCTCTCTGTACAAAATCAATAAAATATATTTTTTTTAAAAAAAGAGCTAATAGGTATAAATACTTAGAATGCTTTATAAACACTAGCTATTAGTTAAATACTATTGTACCAAACTTGTTCTAATATAATGTAATGGTGGTTTGGGATAAACTTCCAGTGGAATTAAAATGTGCTGTAACTCTAAATAGAGGATTGTACAATACACCCCCTATTGGTGCATGCAACCAATGTACATGCCCTTGACCGGAATCGAACCTGGGACCTTTCAGTCCACAGACTGATGCTCTACCACTGAGCCAAACCAGTTTCAGCCAGTAAACCTTTATTTACAAAACCAAGTGGCCCATCAGATATGCTGGTCCCTGGCATTAATAATACAACAGCATCTTAGTCCTGAAAGCTTCCCTTATTTTATTTTATAAAAATGTTTTTATCGATTTCAGAGAGGAGAGGAGAGGGGGAGAGAGTGCGAAACATCAATGATGAGAGAGAATCACATCACCTGAGCATGTGCCCTTGACCCTTCAGTCTGCAGGCCGACACTCTATCCACTGAGCCAAACCAGCTAGGGCAAGCTTTCCTGCCCTGACCGGTGGCATGGGCAAGTCAGGCCCCTGTGGCTAGCTACGTTCCACAGGCCACTTCTCTTTAACAGGCAGCATGGATTTTAGCTCCTTAACTACTTCTTCAAACCTACCATCCCCCCCCCTTTTTTTTTTCCCCTCTTTGTTATTCTGACTCAGTAGTTGTTGGGTAAGAGGGTAGTTTAATATACTGTGCTATTTCTTTAAAAATAAATGCACGTGTTTTCAGTACTGTTGGATATAGGAAATTACAAAACAATACATGTAAAGATGTCTGATAGCATCAAGAATTCAGGCAAGGTTTTGTCAGGAGGGCCGCAACCTAGCACACATACTGCCTTTTTTCTTGATCTGGTTTGACCCACATGTGGTCAACTGGCCAAATGTGGTTTCCTTATCCTCCAGGGTGAGCTCTTTCTGCATGTTTTTTTTTTGTTTGTTTTTTTAATATATTTTATTGATTTTTTACAGAGAGGAAGGGAGAGAGATAGCTAGAAACGTCGATGAGAGAGAAACATCGACCCGCTGCCTCTTGCACACTCTTTCTGCATCTTTTATTTTTTTCCTTCTTCAGCATGCTGGTGTAATCATCTCCCATTATGGATTTTTTACAAATTTGGTCTAAACATGAGAAAGCAAATTTTATTTCCCACATATGAGGAGCCTGTCGTGAGAAGGCCAGGGAAAATGTGTACTTCTTGGAAGAAAAGGTTGTGGTCCTAAGGCTACTTTACTCATTAAGAAAGGTGGCTGTATAGTTTCACACATCGTCTTCATTGCATGTGATTGCAAGATTGCATATTTTCTTTGGTGCCATAACGAAGGCTAGTTCATGAAATAAGTGACATCATCTAGAACAGCAGTCACCAAACAGCCGTCTGCTGGTGGTCCGTGAGCTTCAAAAGGTTGGAAACCCCTGGAAGATCAATATTTTCAACAGTAGCAAATCACAAAAGGCTACCTTTTAACTCAGGAAGTTCCCATAGTCGAGGTCTGACTGAGCCAAGTGTCTCTTTCTCTTGCAGGCATGACAGCAAGTGCAGTTGCAGCTTTAATCCTCATGACATCCTCCATCGTGTCTGTAGTAGGGTCTTTGTACCTGGCCTACATTCTGTACTTTGTGCTGAAGGAGTTTTGCATCATCTGTGCTATCACATACATGCTGAACTTCATTCTTCTTATCATCAACTACAAACGACTAGTTTACTTGAACGAGGCCTGGAAACGGCAACTGCAGCCCAAGCAGGACTGACGGCCTGACGAACTTACCTTCAAGTCCCTTTTCCATTAAGTTAATTTCGCAGCATTTTTTTATTCTTCACAACAGACACTTTCCCTAAGAATCTTAAACTGATTTTTTAAAATCTTGTAAATTAGAAGGGTATTTTTTGTGTCAATCTTCATTTTAAATATGGATACAAAAAAAAAAAAAGCATAAGCCGAGCCAATCAAAGACAAGCTTTAACTTTACTTTGAAGATGTTTCTGAAATAATTAAATGTAGCCCTCCGTTGTAAAGTGAGCAACCATTGCTAATAACTCTCCAATGTGTATAAATTCAATTTCAGGTATAACAAATGTGATCATGACATGAAAATATTTTAGAATAGATACTGTATTAAGTATTGCCATGTTTACAATATGTAATATGTTTTTAGCCAATGGATTTAAACATGTAGATTCAACTAGAATTCATTTCTGTGACATTTGTAAATAAAGGTAGAAATATCGGATCCATCCCTGCAGAACTTGCTGTACAGTTGAGCTGAAGTGTAGCAATGAAGAACTGTCAGCTCAACACTGACTGAAGAAAAAGTGAAAATAGTTCAGTGCATACAGAGTCTTGTGAAAAGTACTGACATCCGTGGGTCCAGCATTGACAGCAAAAATAGGGTAGTTGGTTCCCTTTCATCTCCTTCCTCCTCAAGGAAGAAACTCTTTGGACATTCAAGTCAAACTTGTGTCTAGTCATAAAACTGGATCAGTTCTACCTTACAGAGTGAGTCATGTGACCAAACCATCAAGTCCAAAGCCTTCAGGACACTAAAGATGGGGAAATGGGTACATTTCTTTGGAGAAAAGCTGGAAATATATGAATTTTAAGGTAAAGTCTCCTAAAACAGTTGGATTTTATTTAGATACTTTTCCTTAACATTGGTGCCAACCCTACAGTATTATGGCTTTGAAATAATCAGTATAAGCCCATTCGCTCCAGAGTAGGATCGCTCTTGGATAGCTGTTTCCTGTTTCTTTCTGCACTAACTAATCGGATTTTTAACTTAATTGTTTTAGAGTAAAATATTGGCTATGTAAACTTTAGGGATGATAATGCTGCTCAGTTAGCTTAATCGGGAGTATTTTAGGTGGAAATACCTGAAGGTGAAATACTAATGTTGTCACTGCTCTTTCTATGGCTATACAAGTGCAGAATTTCTTAAAGTGATGTGAATTAACCCAAATAAAATTGTGACAGTATGCTTCTAAGGTTAACATATCAAAATGTTAAAAGTGCCTTCTGTCGTAAATCTCAAACCAAATATTTTCTGTTGAACTTGGGCAGAAGTGTCCTTCCTTCCTTTCTTGGCATGAAGTAGATAACTTGCATTCTATATAAAGGTTCTGTATGATCATTTTATTCCTTAGATTGAGAAGTAGTAGCAACAATTTTGCTTTCAATTTGATTAATCATTATATTAAAAATAGACCGGTAATTTAAGTGCATATTTGCCTTTTTGAAGGAGAGGACAGGCTCTGCTCTGTAAACCTATGTGTAGCGTCAGCAACTGTTTCCAACTAACCGTCATAATTGATGCAATGTATTATTCTGGTCCAAGGCAGGTAGAAAATCTGAATTGTAATGAACTATTGAGTTTAAACCAGTTTTATAAAAAGAGCTTAATTCAGATTTCATCCAGGCTGATGTTTTCCCATGAATGTGAATATTTCAATGCCTGTTTTATTATGTATGTATTATTCTTATTTCTATAGTTAAAGAACTCTAGAAAGCATTGATTAGATGCCCCGTGTGGATGGAGAAGCGAGTCCTGATATTGAAGTGAACTGTACAAGGAGGTCACGTCGCAGTGCTTCCAGTTCTACGAGCCGTTCACTGCTTCTCGTTTCCCAGCTACGGTGGCAATGGCTCAGCGGTTAAGACTTCTGTGGTACATATAACACTGGTCGTGCTAAAATTCCTCGTGTCCCAATTTAAAATGTGGTGTGTTTTTTTCCTCATCATATTTGTATCAATCGGCAGAGTATACTTAAAGCTTGTCTTGATGTCCTCTTGGAAATATTTGTCTTCAACTCAAAGAGAAAATGTAAAAATGTTTAGCCAGACCCTTCAAGTTTTTCCTTTATTTTCCCAAGCCTGGGGGGAAACACCACTGTTTCAGTTGTATTAAAAAATGGCCACATTCCTATGACCCAGAACTACTAATCACCTTTTTCTCACTGGGCAGTGAACATGTGCTACCTGCACTGCAGCTCGTAATGCCGACATCACAGTAAGCAACAGGGCCCTGCTGGGTGCTATTGGTACTTGTGCCCCGGAAGAGTGTGGGCTCCCTCCACATGTTCTGCATCACCCCAGAACAGGGGGAAGAAAGATACCATGTTTTAAAATTCCAGTATTGTTAGGACTATTGTAAAATTACTAGCCACTGACATTGAAGAACAGATTAGGGGGAAAACTAAATTTCTGGTTTTGGCAGTAATTCCATGCTTCTTGAATTTTGAAATGATTTGTAAATGAAGTCTCTTATTAACTTGACAGTCACATAATTTGAAGAAATAAGAGAAGTTGTGGTTAAATGATAGGGAAGCTAGGTGGTTTGGAGAACCTCATTTGGTATTTCATTACAGCTAGTTGCTGTCAGTAAGGATACATTAAGTGAAATTACTCAGGTTTAACTAGCTGTGTGCCAGAAATTACTTTTACTTGATGTATGTGGCCTCTTCTTAAACCCATTACTTTTAAAGAGGTGAAAGCAGTGACTATTTGCTTTCTAAGCGACAAAGATCTTTTGGTACAAGAGATCTCTGGATCAACAAGATAGGATAGAGGACCAAGACTATAGTGAAATAAAAATGATTTGTTGCCTTTAGTCTGCTTATATTTCCTTTAAAGACTATCAGCAAAAGTGCAAGGTTACCTTCAACAATTACTTTGTAACTAAGATTGGTATCTCTGCCTGACTCCAGGGAATGCTGACAGATCGTGAAAATCAGTATTAAATAGATGCCAACAAGAAACCCACTCCCTTTTTTGGTAACCTATTTGGGAAGAAGCACCTAATATGCAAACACTGGAAAAATCTCTCGCTGCTCAGACATATTAGGCAGCACTTAGGGCTCCTCTTTATGAGAACTGACCTTCAACAAAACAAAAGGGATTAGTGTGGTGGGAGCCCAGGCCAATTGGTTAAACATGTTTTTAACAAATTATCCCAGAAAAGATGAAATGTTTTCTTATAAAACTATTAAGCATGGCCGAAGTATGAGGTATAGTATGATCTGTATAGTATGCCCCATCAAAAATATTACTAGTGCTTTAAACTCCAGAGTACATTCTTTTAAAATGGAGTTCACTGGACAGATATCCCCTTTAATATTAGATAGGAATATTCTTTATCAGAGATTTAGGACACAGTTTTGTTAACTGGTAAAAAAAAAAAAAAAATGTAAATATGTAAGAATGTTTATTTGTTGCACATAACTTTTTTGGTATAAAATAAATGTAGAAGTTACCTGTGGAAGTTGTGCTGCCATCATTCTTATACTGCAGTATTACAGGTCAAAAAGAAGCGGAACGAATCCACTCATAAACTATTCTTAAAGTAACCTCATAACTGGAACTTCACATCTACAGGTATACCAAGTTGGTTTTTTTCCTCTTAAATCATATATAACTTATAGAATACACAAGCAGAATTCTCAGAGATTCTAGTTTCTGGGATTTCTGTAGGTTTATAATTTATGTGGTTAAGCATGAAAAAGGTGTTACAGCCACGTGGTAGTAGTTCTTACTTTACCAAGTAAATGGGCTCTTTCCCAGATACCATGGCCTCTCCGCTGGCGAGTGGTACCCTGACTCATTGGCAAGTTCCAGAAGCACAAAGAATGTAGGAACCAACCGTTTTTCCACTGCTCTATTTTAGCTGACCTTGAATACTCCATTTTTACAAATTTCTAAAAGTCACACCTGCAATTTGGAATGCAGTTTAGCCATATTTTATTGACTAGAACAAATGTGTTCTGTGTTAGACCCTTCGGACTTAAGAAATGGGCCTGACAGACACATCATTTGTTTTGATCATTGAAATGTTCTTTGTGAGGATCCGTTCCCTCTACATGAAAGGCAGTGTGGGAAGTATAGTCTGAAAACCAGAACCACTTTTTCAAAACTTACCCGTTTGACCCAATTTGGATATTCATTTCAGAAAACAGAAAATAAAGGAAGACTAAAAGCCTCAAATGAGCCTTAGAACTCTGATTAGAAGTGACGGTGATAAGGCATCAAAGTGAACGGGACACCTAGATTGGAGAAGATAAAATACTTTGGTCCAAGAATTGAAGTATATTAAGAATTTACCTAAATGTAATGATTTGCCTGCAGGAAAACAAAAAATGGCATACCCTGTCTGTAATTTGGAGACATCCCTCGAATGAAAATAATGTTCTACCAGTTGTATGAGAAAGTGGACGATCTAAATAGGAACAACACGGGGAGAATTTGCAGTGAATGGCAGTGCTAAAGGGAAAAGCAAAAGGGTAATGGTCTGTTTTGGCTTTTAGAAAACAAAAAGGCTTGAAGATTAATTTATTATTTTGCTTTCATTTTTGTTAAGGACAGAAAAATCCCTGATAGGCAACAAATACCAAGTTTGCAGTTTTATTCCTTTGGTACAAAACAGTGGAATGCCAGGCTAGCAAAGCAGCCAGGCGCTCATTTATGATTAAACTTTTTTTTACTGAGAAGGTACTGTCACCCTACCATAACTAGGTGGGTATTTCTTCCACTGTAATGATTGGGGGTTTGGTACAAAGCTGTTTTATGTGTTAGCTTCTTGCCCTCACCTGAGCAGTCCTGGGGGAGGTCACCCCTGAAATCCCAGAGCCATGTTTTCTACATGGTGTTACATTTTGGGGGAAGAAAAATGGAGATCAAAGTTAGCCACCTTGCTAGTGTTCTTCAAAATAAAGCTTCGACAGGATGGCGCAATGTCCTGGAAGAGCTGGTTTACCTCTGAGCTCCCTTCCAATTCTGACATTCCTCAAATCTTACCTGTGGCAACTAGTATGAGTGTTCATTATTTCAGCTTATCACTTTCTGTAAATTTGTTAGTATTGCAGCTCTCATCTGGAGTTTTACAGGCTGGCCTGGTTTGGTACGTGAGCAGGACGGCCCCAAGGCAGGGGAGCAACTCCTACGAAGCAGTCTGTAACCAGCAACTCTGAACTTGTGTGAGTGTTGAAGCAAAAGTTTCTCAAAAGTCTATACCCAGTTAAGGCTATGTAAACAACTTGACACAAAAATAACTTCCGATGCTTTTCAGCAGTACAGATCATCATTCAATTTATGGAATGGTCACTTCTGAGCCAACTCTTAATTCCCATACTACAAAATACTTTATTTTCACTTCTAATGTTCCCTTCCAGCAAATGACTACAAAATCCAGACCAGAAACTCCTTTCTGCCACACATGGCCAGGAGGCACTTCCTCTGTCGGCTGTGCCACAGCCTCACCTGGGAAGGGGGGCTGGCAGCTGGTGTCAGCCAAGAGGCAGTTCTTGCTTTACCAAGTACAGTGGCTCTTTCCCAGACACTGTGGCTTCTCAGCTGGTGGGTGGCACCCAGTCTCGTTGGCAAGTTTCCAGTATCTCTCTCGTAAAAGGAACGCTGCACCTTTTGGTTGTCTCTGGCGAGTGAAGATCCCCTTTTTATTTCCTAGAACTCTGAACGTTGCTAAAAACAAGCAAAGAGACGTTTTAGATGACTCCAATGGGCAAAGCTGGAGCCCAGCTGGACACTAAAAAATAGCCTTACAGTTTAGGGTGGTTTGGTCTAATGTGGCTACTTAATGGGGTTAAAGATTTACTACTGTTCCCCCAAAATACCTTAGCTCCTGGGAGTCAATTTTTCATCCGTTAGGGGAAACTACCCAAAATGGTTTATCTTTTACTTGCAAACTAAGGACTAAAACATTAAGGTACCCAGATGCCTGGTAACTGGAGGGAGCAGAGATGAAAAGTGGGAGCCAGAGTCCTGACCAGCCTAGGTGCCCAGGTGGGACCTCCCAGCAGATGTCCATGTCCTCCCAGCACCTTCCAGCGGGACTCCCCCTCCTGCTGGCAGGTCTGCCAGAGCTGAAGCTGGGTAGGGAGCGGAGCTGGCCATAGCCAGTCAGGACTGCGCTCGCAGCACACCTCCTCTCCAACCCTTTTGAAACCACAGTTTCCGTAAAACCAAAGTAGATCTTTCCCACCAAGAAGTTCAGACAACAGGGATTTCTTCCACAGTAAACAAATGGCAGGCACTGTACCAAGCACTTCATCAAATGGATCCCTACATCAACCTGCAGGGTGGTGGCTCTGTCCCACTGTACAGGTTCATGAAACTAGGTAACTTGTCCAAGGTCACAAAGCTAACTCGCACCACACAAAGCTGGGGCACCTGCTCAGGAAACTAGACTGCCATGCAGGGTATTTCCAGAAGCCATTCTTCTCATTAGCCAAGCAGAGTAGAGGCTCATGTTCTCATTCTTCTGTTTAACTCGTCCTATTCAAACTTTAATTAAACTTGAACCTTCCAAAGACCTGTCTCTCCCCTTAAGTAATGCACTGTAATTGCTACTACTACTAAACACTTCCCCACTCTCCAAATTGCCATCCTTAGTTTATGGTCTGGAGCAGCCCTATCTATCCCACTTGAGAAAGGTGTACAGATGTATTCTGGAAGACGTTTGAACACTCCCACACTCAACATGCCTGGCCAGCATGGCTCAATGGTTGAGCATCAGCCAGTGAACCAGGAGGTCACAGTTAATTCCCAGTCAGGGCACATGCCGGCTGTGGACTCAATCCCTGTGTGGGGCGTGCAAGAGGCAGCTGATCAACGATTCACTTTCATCATTGATGTTTCTATCTCTCCCTTCCTCTCTGAAATAAAAATATATTTTTTATCTGGGGGAGATAAGAGATCAACCGAACGACTTGTATACATGCATATAAGTACCAATGGACACAAAACTCTGGGGAGGGAAGGTATGTATGGGGGGGGGGGCAATGTTAAAATATGTACACAGATAATTTAATAAAAATATATTTTAAATTATATCTATATCTATCTATATATATATATATATATATATATATATATATATATATATATATATATATATATATAATTTTTTTTTAAATGCTTGGACCCTTCCCTGTGTTTGACAAACCTGCCTCGTACAAGTGAATATCTTAAATTCCTCAGGCTTTGTACCCTACTCGGGAATAATGAGTGTATTTCACAATGCCCACTTTTTCCTCGGACTGTTATGAAACAGACATGGCAAGTTAGCCATTCTGCCTCGAGAGAGTAGGCTCTCCCATTTGCTTTTTTACTGTAAAATGGGGAAGCAAGCAAGCAAGCAATTATTGCTTGTTAAAGGCAACTTACTTTTCCTACGAGACCT